TGGTTATTAAATTTTATTTTTGTTTATAAAACACATAAAACACATGTTAATTTCGATGTTTTTTAAAATCAAACCATTACATTTTATAATATTCAAGACTCAAAAAATAATACACTTGTAATTAAATTATTTAATTGAACAACTACATATTGTGATTAATTAATAGTTAAAACACCGAACTGAGCATTCAAACTATTTTTTGTCATGTAATTCCTCATTTTTACAATTACTTTCATTTTTATTATACCATATATATTAGTTCAAAATGTCAGGCAATTAATATCAATAAAAACAATCGTTTTTTTAATTTCGGGTTTATGTTTTTGGAAAAATAATCAATTGTTGTAACACGTGTTATGTTTGAGTAAGTCACAGTTTGTCATTTTTATCAATAATAGAACTTCTTTTTTAATTGTTTTATTTTGTATGAGACTGTTTTATTCGAATAAAAGAGGGATTTTTATTAAAAACATCGAAGATATCGGAAACAATTTTTAATAATCATCCAAACAACACTAAAAACAGTTCAATAAAAATAGAAATTGATTTAGAAACACCGATAAAATAATAATAAAAGTCGAATGTTTTGTAGTGTGAAGTTTGTGAAGTGTTATACATTTTATACAATTGTCGTTTTTATAAACAATAAATAAATGATATTTAATATTAACTTAACAAAAGCGAAAAACACAGAACATGTGATAAAAAAAGAAGTGATGATTTGGTCCGTTGTAACCCTACATGTTATGCTGTCGTGTCTCACACTATAAAAAGAGCTCTTTTGTACTCAAATATCATCGAATGCTTTCTATTCTCTGTCTAACACTGATCTGCTCTGTGTATTCCGAATTTACTGGATCATACTGCTATACATTAACAGATGATAAAAACAAATGTCAAGAGTGCTTTGACAATTACATTCTGAACGCCGACAAGACTACTTGCACTTATAAGAGAGACTTGGGCTGTGAAAGTTTTAGTGGCGACAAATGTCTCAATTGTGCTGATGGGTACATGAAAGATGTAGCCAACACCAAATGTGTTGAAGGAGACGAGTATTGTATGGTCGATAATTATAGTAATGAAATGACTTGTAATTATTGCAAAGGTATCACAAACATCAACGACAAGTCATGCAAAAACTGCACTGAACAGAACAAGGGTTGTTTAGACGCCAATCCCGATTGTGGTACCTGCACCACATGTGGAAGTGGCTATTATTTGGAGTCAAACAAATGTATCAGAATTCCAAATTGTATTAATAAAGATACAACCGACAACAAGAAGTGTGGGACATGCATCAATGGGTATTATGTTGACGACAACAAAAATTGTGTTCTTGGAACTATTCCACATTGTGTTGTTTACACAGATAAGGATAGCTGCAAGAAATGTGAAAACCCATATACTTTAGTTGGTGATAACTGTGAGTATCGCCCATATTGTTCATATGTTGACCAAACTAAGTGCACAGATTGTTTGATGGGGTATGGTCTCAAGTCTGGAAATTGCACTAAATGTGAAAAGACCAATTGTGTTGGTTGTGAAGCAGATGCTACCGTTTGTGAAATGTGTGCTGCTGGATACACAATAGTGAATGGTGAATGTAAGAAGTGTGAAGTTGAGGGGTGCTCTCGATGTGTTGAAGGAAAAGTTTCTGAATGTGAATTTTGTGATGTAAACAATGGTTATAAATTGTCAGCTTCAACAAAAAAATGTTACAAATGCCTTGATCATTGTACTCAATGCAATGAGGATGATGCTGCTACCAAGTGCACTGCTTGTGTTTTGGAGTATGGACTCAACAACAACAAGTGTGAGAAATGTGGGACTGGATGTGCTTCATGTAATGAAAACAACTTGAATGAGTGTACTTATTGCATTACTGGTTACAATCTTGATTCAACCAATCACAAGTGCTACAAGTGCGGTGAGAACTGCATTAGTTGTGATTCTTCAGATACAGCAACATGTAAAACGTGTGCATACGGGTATGCTTTGAATGGAAAAGTCTGCAAGAAGTGTGACACTGGTTGTACCATGTGTGAATCAAATGATTATCAGAAATGCACATACTGTGAATCGGGATATGTTCTTGATAGTGCCAATCAAAAATGCGGCAAATGTCACTCGTCATGTGCCTCCTGCTCTGAAGGTAATTCAGATACCAAATGCACCGCCTGTCCAATTGGGTATTACCTCACTGTTGAGGGAAAATGTTTGGCTTGTGATGGCAAGTGTGATTCATTCAATAACGATGCTGATAACACACAAGCTTACTGCAATAAATGCAGTTCTATATGCAAATATACAAACAAAGGTGGTGATGATACGAAGTGCTACGTAAATGATCATTGTATAAACTATGACAATGTAAGACCAGGCAAATGCATTGATTGTGAGAGTGGTTATTATGTAGATGGTCAATACACTTGCCAAAAATGTGATGCTAAATGTGAAGGTGGATGTGTGAAGAGTGCGACTGAATGCATTACCTATGAACCTATTGCATACTGCTTAATCTATAACAAAGACCACACTTGCAAGACGTGTAATTATGGATACAAAAAGGACGGAAATAATTGCATTGATGATGATAGTTGCCAAACCAGAAACGATGACGCGAAATGCATTGTTTGCGAAGAGTCAATTGGAGACAATTTATATTTGGCTGATCAAGTTGGACACTGCAAAGATTATGTCGAACCAACCGAAGGAAGTGCTGCTCTTGCTATTGTCATGGCTATCTTTGCTTTGGTGCTTGCTCTTTAAAGATTAAATAAGAGTTTGATGAATTTTGTTGCTTAACAACAATTTTTGTTTGATAAATATTTATAGAATATAATTATTTTTAAAAGTATTCATACATTTTTTTAATTTAATATGTTTACAGCAAAAAAAATAAAACGTGTATACATATAATTTACATTTTTATAACAAAACAAAGAATTATATTCATTGTATTTTATTAGTCATTAATAGTCACCATGTTGTCCAACAAAGTGTGTTCGGCTGCAGTGTTCAGTAATGAATACACTGCTTGTTGTTTGTCATATTCAGATACCAACAACCAAATTGCATTTGTTATGCCAAATGATATCGAAAAGTTCGAAAAGGCACGAGAGGGGGAGATCTATGAAATCATGAGGTCTTTATCTCAAAACTTCCCAGAAAAACGGTCTGTCACGTTCCCAAAATTTTCAGTTGAAAGTAGTGTTAATATGGTCCAACAATTGAGGAAACTTGGTCTGAATTTACCATTTTCTTGTGATGCAAATTTCTCGAAAATGGCGAAGGGAAAATTTTATGTGTCTGATGCAATTCATAAAGCCGTTGTTAAGGTCGACGAAAATGGAACAGAGGCAACAGCAGCAACGGCTATTGCTGCTACTTTTTGTTGTTGTGGTCCCTTTGATGAACCAAGACCTGTTGTGATAGATAAACCTTTTTATTTTTCGATATTGGGCAGATATAAGTTGCCTCTTTTCTTTGGGAAAATTACAAACCCAAAATATTGAAGTTTATTCAATTATTATTGTTGTTTTATTACTTAGTTGATGATATATTTTATAATTTGAATGAAATTTATAATGGGCTGTACTGAAGTCTACAAAGTAATTAGGAATTAAATTATAATTCATTAGTATAAAAACATTAAACAAATAAGCGTTTCTGTAAAACATTTAATTATTTGTATAATTCAATGATTGCATCATTTTTTCAAGACAATCTTCAATTTGAAACGATGAAATTCTGTTGTTTTCGTCATAACGCCAACACATTTCAATGAGAGTGTATTGTTCTTCAGTAATCTGTTCAATTATTTTAAGATGGTTTCCTTTAATTACAAATTCTGCTATTTTCCATGGAAATTTAAATTTCGTATGTTGATAAGCTTCACACCATCCAAACACTTCGTACAATGTTATTCCAAATGAATAGATGTCGGCACTTTTTGTGTACTTTTGTTGTTTTAAAATTTCAGGCGCCATGTACTTTGATGTACCAATACCTTTGGTGAATGTCATGTTAGTCATCAACATATTAACATTTCTACTACTTCCAAAATCAGTCAATTTTGCATTCACATTGCTGTTTAAATCAAGTGAAACAACCAAAAAATTGTCTGGTTTGATATCTCTGTGTAAAATTCCGTTGTTATGTAAATATATTATTCCTTTTGAAGTATCTTTCATCGTTTTAACACGAAGTATTACATCAATTTCATTTGAATTTTTGTGATTCATCAAGTCCTGTAAGCTTCCAAATTGAGCAAACTCGGTTACCGTACACACTTTATTTGGTATGAAAACGGCGCCATAGAAGTGGACGATATACTCACTGCGGAATTTGTCTAACATAGAAACTTCGTTAATAAATTCATCTATGGCATTATCATCCATGATATTTTTTCATCTTCTTGGTTGCGACGATATGTTTTCTGTAAGTGCCTTTATAAACAATTCCAAAAGATCCTTCGCCAAGTTTATTTTCTTCAACCAACTCGTCATAATCAATTCGTGTGGATTGTTGTGTTGTTCCGTGTAAAGAAATTGTGTTGTATTTTTCATCTCCATTTTTAAAATTCTTTGAGACAATTTGAAGCACATTTTCAATTTGACATGTGCAATGAGGGTTTAAATAAAATGAAAATTCACATGCATATCCTCTCTTTAACGAAACGATTTCCGGGGCAATTTTTATTGTAATTTTATCAGAATTCACAGAAATAGTTAACTGATTTTTGATTACATTTTTGTTTGTGTTCCAACACTAAACATTTTACGACTTTCTTGTTCGACTGGAATTTCTGTTGATTTAGAGTTAAAAAAATTACTTTGGAAGACACACAGATCCCATTTTGAAGTGCTTCAAATATGACATTAGATCTTTTCATTTCAAAAAGTGTTGTGGTTTTTTCGATGGTTTTTGTGTGTATTCTATTTAGTATTTTCTTTGTGACAATAATAATCATATTAATGGAAATTAAAATCAATATGAACACGTATAAAAAACAGCAATTAAAAAGACCCACCACACTATTTGTGATTCACATGAAATGTTATCACCACTTGGAACATTCCAAAATGAACACTTGGAGCATTTTGAATTTGTTATTTTATAACAATTTGATACTTGGGAAAGACCGAAACATGTGTTATTTAATAATAAAACTTGAGATGGTTCACATAATGTACATTGCTTTTCATTCAACATACACGTCTTTCAGTTGTTATCACACTTTTCACATTCATTCGAGTTTATAATAAAATACTTACTTTGACATTTGGAACACTTATTTTGTGTTACTTCAACACTACACCCATTAATTTAACTACAATCCGTTTTTTAGAATGGGTTGTGAATTATCACTTATACCACTTATTAATTTATCTTTTAACAACATTTTTTATTCTGAAATTAAAATTGCAAAACCAGCAACGCTAAATATTGCATTTCTTTTATCAACACATTTTTCGTAATATTTGATTTTGAATCATCATAAAAATTTGATGAAACAGTTTTATTTACTGTAAAATCACCTTTACAAGTTATAATAGCATTTCCATGTTTTTCATTCACACTATTGTTACTCAACTTAATATTACAAACACATCCAATTTTGAATTTTCTTTCATTGATAACTCCGCGTTTGCATACACGTTTAGTCTTTATTGAGCAATCATATTAGAGTATCCACCAAGTAATATTCGAGAAAAAAATGTAAACACTTATATTTTTATCAGAAAATATTGTTGCATTTTCTTCTAAAAATAATTTTGAATTTTCTATAAAATTTATTCGGGATTTGTCTTTGGCTGCCACATTGGAGTTTCCTTGTGCAATAATTGTCACATTACCATAAATATGGGAAAAAAGCAAATGTTTGAAAATAAGAATTGCCTTCAAAAATATTTGTCGAACTTCCATAAATTGAAACGTCGAGAAATAGAGAAGTTTTTGTACTATCTTTCATATAAAAAAGTTGAATTTCCTCTAATGTAAATATTTCCTGTGATGTAAAGAGTTGAATTTTTGATCAGTTTAAAAGTCAGAAGTAATGTATTGGTGTAATTGCCAACGCAAATGTGTTCAGATGAAACACAATCAGAGTCAATTGTCAAATCATTAATTATATATTACTTTTAAATGAACATTGTACGCTTTTGATTAGAGTTATACAAACCACAAAAGTTAAAAACAATTTCTTGCATTTTTAGTTTTATTGAAATTATATTACAGTCAAACCTTTCAATTCTGACACCTTTTGATTCTGACATTTTTAATTATTTATTATTAATAAAAAAATACTATTGTCAAAATTCAAAGGTCCAGTAATAAGTCGCAAAGATAAAACAAGGCAAAAACTAAATTATGGTAAAACCCATTTAAACGTATTCAGAAGCAGTTTTAAACACTTTTGATATAAAATTAAGAATTGTTATTTTCTCTTTTTCTGGCATTTCTGAATCCATAACTCTTTTCAATAACGAATCGGCATCTGTATACAATTCATCTTCAAATGTAGTTACATTTCCCAATGGTGTTGTCTCTTTCGAAAATTCCAATATTTCAAGTTCATTGTTTGTTATAAAAGGTGGTATCTTTTCATCCATTCTATCTACAAATTCTTCATCTGAACTTTTCTCGATTACAACACCACTTTTACTTAGCTTTTCAATCGAACGTTGTATTTCAATGTCGTTTTCGTTGTTTTCATCAATGTAACTTTCTCGAGGTTCTCCCAACAGTGTGGTTTTATACCAACATTTGGTTACTGTTTTGTTTTCTACACTCAACCAAGCTCTGTCAATAAAAGGCAAACACTCTACAAAAGGAAGCTTCTTAGCTTTTTTGATTTCTTTCTTTGAATCAGAAGTGACATTTTTAACATTGTGTTCAACGACATTGACCAAGTTGCGCAGAAATAGCTTCCGGTAATTTTTCTTGAAAGTGTATATGATACCCGTGTCGAGAGGCTGATAAACCGAAGTTACGTTAGGCGGAAGAAAGATCACGAATATATAGTTAAGTTTCATAACTTTGATTTCAGTGTCGACTTTTATTAACAAATTGTGTGTTGAACAGTTGTCAATGATGAACATAGTTTCGTGTGGATTTGGAGAGTTGGTTATTTCGGCATCCCAATCCAGTATGTATCTTTGAAAAATTACAGTGCTCATCCAAGCATTTTGTTGATCCAAATAAATGATGTGGTTTTTCTGTTCTATTTGCTTTGTCATTCCTCTTGGTTTTACTGACTTGCCAATTACCACTGGGTTTCTTCGGTTTTTACCAGTAACATCTGTAACAAGAAATACAGTAAACCGTATTTTATCACACTCGATTCCAATTTCCTTTTCTTCTTTGATGTTCAACGATGATGGTTCGAGAAAATGTATGTTAAGACCAGTTTCATCTACATTGAAGATTGATTCTTGGCCATAAGTATCAAGGAAGTGTTTTACAATAACTCGAATTGTTTCGTTGTAATCACTACATATTGATAAGTCAACAACAGGAGTTTCTCCGTACTGCTTGTGCATACTGAGAGAGTGTCGTTTTTTGAAAGAATCTAACAACCCGTTTGATAAAGTAAGATTGATCAAATAACTGTCTTGACTCATATTAAGCTTTGTTCTGTTGGCCAAGTATATAATAACATCGTCATGTATCGGTGTGTTATTTTCCAATAGCATGTTTATGGCAAGCATCAGATTTTGTTCAAAAAGTGGGTATTTAACTCTACTTAGCAATCTTTTGTCAACAAGTGGTTTGTCAATTGAAAGCCCGGTGATCCAACTCCGAGAAGGTTTTTTGGATAAGCTGGATGTACTGTATGCCCATTCTGCAACACGTTCATCAGTCAAAACTAGTTTCTTTTTAATAATATCAGCTTTTTCATCTACAGTTAAAGAAGTGAGTTTTCTTTTAACTGGTTTGTGATCTTTAATTCTTTTCATGTGTTTGTTTATCAAGTTTAAAGTTTTTAAAAATCTTTTTTGCGTTTTTTCTTGTTGTTCTGTTATCTTGAAATGTCAAAATCAAAAGGTTTTCAATTTCTAAAAATGTCAAAATTGAGAGGTTTGACTGTATTACATTTTGTAATTAGATTTAACTTTTTTTAAAATAAATTCGAGTCGAATAAAATAATCATAATAATTATAAATAAAAATATCGAAATATAATATAAAATGCTTATTTGCAAAAAAATAAATAAATCAACTTTACATTTATAATAATTTTAGGCTGAAATAATCTTGAAGGTCACATTAACAATTAAATGTATTATTTATTATTTATACACGTTTTTAGATAAAATTATTCATTTGGTTTTGTTTTAAACAAAAAAAATAATTTTTATTTAAATATAAAATCCTCAATCTATAAATACTTCAAAAAGTTCGAAACAAATTATAATTATCGTTATGTCGAAGTTAGAAATGTTTTATATGATGAATGTATTTCTTCATTTGGAGACATTTAATGACGTCCGTACATTTATACAAGTCTCAAAGAAATGTTTATCTATGACAGACTCAATTCATGTGAACCCGTGGTTTTCTAATGCCAAAGACATTTACAAATATGACCAACACTTCCACCCAACTACTTTGAATGTAAACTTTATCAGATATAATAATCCAATAACATCACAATTTGCACGAAATTATGTTATTACAAATACAACCTCAGAAGTTGTTTTAAACAGACTTGGTTATTCCTTCAAAGTGCTTTCTGGGATATTGATAGAAACACTTTTACCCAAACTTGATTATGCACGAGTCTTTGAAAATCTTCAAGAACTCGCAATAAACATTAATATATTACCTGAGTTGTATACTAAGTTCTGTGACGCAACAAGTAATTTTCTCGTTACACCAAAATTCCCTCGAAAACTTTTTATTCGAACGAATTCGATTATAACTAAAAATAACTCAAATAACATTTTAGACATTGTTACTAATATTAAGAAGAGGTTCGATACTAATATTTACTTTTTGTACAATAAGAAATGGATAGATGATAAAGACGACTTAAGAGATATGGGAAAGATATACACTGCTGGTAATACGTTGATTAAACCACACAATATCGACTATATAATTCCAATGAATTCAAATAAGATATCAACATTTTTCGATCAAACAACGGAAGACGATATACATAAAATGAATGACTACATTACTCAAGTCATGCCTTCAAAAATCAAAATATACTGTTCGGAATTTATTACCGTCTTTGATATATCAAGTCTCAATTTAGAAAATATTGACTGTGTGAAATTTAATGCTAAATATTCACAACACATCGACTATGTGTGTTCTAATGAACAAATATTGCCCGAAAGAATTGAATGTAAAGACTGTTCTTTATCTTCAAAACGTCCTTTTTACAATGTCAAAGAAGTTGAGTTAAGTCAACACTGGAATGTGGTTGTCGATTATAATAACGATGAAAACGATAACACAATTAATTTTTCAAAGAACGTCAAAGAGTTCCTCTTCCCAAATGTTGAACGTGTTGTCATCAAAAAAGGAATTTTAAATGAATTTGATTTTTCTCAATTAAAATCATTAAAAAGTTTTGAAGCAAATGGATGTAAACAGTGTGAATTCATTCTTCCTCATATCAATGGCGAGAACTGCGGGTTTATAAATAACACAAAAATGAAAATTGTAATGTATATAGAGAGTCCACAGCGCTACAAAGTAGAGAGTTGTCGCAGTCTAAAAATCTTATTTTTGCAACGAAAAAGTTTAAATGAAGATCACAAGAAAAACAAGAATGTGAGATGTTCGCTTGACATTTTGAATTGCAAGAAAGTCGTTTTACTCAACACAAAGTACAATAATATCAGAATAACAAACTCAAGCGTTGCGTTTTTACCGAACACTGTTATTAATAAATTAGAGGCAGTTCATTCACAAAGTATTAACAAAAGTGTGATCCATGTGAAAAAGTTGAGTATCAATAATAATAGATAATAGTAACACATTCGTTTTCGATGAAAAAACAATTGAAAGTTTGACACTTGGAATTTTTAAAAATTCAAAGATATCTATCAAACTTCCTTTATGCAAAAAACTGATCATTTTTATGTGTGATAATTGCGATTTAAATTTTGAAAATAGTCCATTTGTGTCAATTCAACTGTGTCGGTCGAAGAACGTTAAAGTGTGTGGAGAGTTCAAAGCACTTAGTGCTGCACAAATTATTATCTCACCAAATTGTAAGCTTCTTTCTACCAATGAAAAAACCAAGAACCGTTTAAATGCGATGAAAGTTTACTCAGACGTTGTGTTCACGTCAAACAAATTGAAGCCGTTAATTGGCATCCCACTTGAGCCCAAATTTAACGTGTTACAAAGTGAAAAATTTGTTGATGTGACGAACTTTAGTCAGTTTATGGATGTACTTAATTGTGAGCGAATCACTTTATTGAGGTGCACAAATGTCGACGATAACCCATTTGCTGTAACTACAAACAACTTATTAATAATAAATTGTCGATTGGGTATTATAGTACTTAAGAAAGAGAATATGGAGTGTTTGAATATTGCCAATTCGTTTGTCGAGTTCATCTCAGATCCCAAGCAATTTGGAATCAAAGTCAAAAGAGGGAGAATATGTAATTCAAATGTACGATACAACAAACTGATTTTTAATTCAATGGAACTTGTTAAAATGAACAATGGAAGTAATGGAGATTTAATGAGTAACACAATTAGTGTTACGGAATGTACAAATATTGAACTTAAAAGTCTTCAAACTTTTAATGCCGAAATAACAGTTAAAAGGTGTAGAAATCTGACAATTTATTTGTGTGGTGAAACAAAAGTCGAACAAATTGAGTGTTACAACATCAAAATAATTCGACTCCGTTTTTGTGAAGTGTCACTGCATAATGAAAAACTCAGTCTTTGGGAAGAGATGCAAATGGAATATAATTTAAAACAGTAACACTTGCCAATTATAAGTTAGATATTCTGTATAAATTGTTTGGGGTTGTATTATATTATATTGTATTTTATTTTTAAATGAATTATTGATGGGACTTTTTAAATATTAACAACCATGAATATTTATAAAATAAAATATAAAAAATAATAATTCTTATTATTATTTTTTTATTTGCATATTTCATATTTCTGTTCTGTTTCATTTGATTTAGTGTTGACATAGCAACTCACCGCTTTCTCGAACATTTCAGTTAAGTTGGTGTTTTTTAATGCTAAAATTTCGTAAAAAAGACAACCTTCTTTTTCAGCAAGTTTTTGTCCTTCAATATAACTCACTTCTCTTTTGTTTTCCAGATCGTTCTTATTACCACAGATGACAGCTGGAACGGTTCGAAGTGTGTCAACTTCAAGTGTTTTGTGAACCAGATTTAATATTGTACACATCTCATTAAATGATGTTTTTGAATCAATAGAATATACCAAAACTATGATGTTTGAATGTTTAATCATCAACTCAGTAAAATCATAACATATTAATGTGCCTCTAGAATCATAAATATCCAACTCATACTTTTTGTCTTTTATAGTTACTGTCTTATAATAATAATCTTCACAAATACATTGGTAATAATTTTCAACGAATATGTCCATTGTGTATCGAGTACATATTGAAGTGCAACCAACACATGGAACACCCAAAAGTTTGATAAGTATTTTATTTTCCATATTTTGATAATAAATAGAGCACTAATATTTAAGTTTTTGGTTATTTTATTTTGAATTGTATTATTTTAATAGTTTTAATTTTTCTGTAATTGTTTTAACATTTAAAAACAAAAATCATTTAAATCAAACATTATTTACGACAAATTTAAATAGTGTTCATAAAATAAAATAGAATATTTATACTAAAAATGTATTTAAAATAAATAAAAAATACTCAATTTGTTATTAGTATATTATTTCAAATAATAAAGTTTTTATATGAAAACGGAAATAACCTTCATTAACTACATTTAAAAAAATAAAATATTTATTTTTTTTATTTGTAATTATATTCAAATTATAATCACAGGCAATAGGAAACTGGGAAGAAATTTGGATTAATTCCAGAAATCAAGAAATACCATATATTCACCTCAGGTCAGTGGATACTGAGTAAGACGGAGCATTAAAAAGAAGTCTCACAAAGACACACTCAAACAGTCTGTTTATGCACTGTTTACCCACTTTCCAAATCCTCCTTAACCCCCTCCCATTCGCAAACGAGGTGGAACCGTTTCTGCACCCACACAGTATAGATAGTGAAAGTGGGTGGGACGCACAAACAGTGTTTGAAAAATGGACTTTTTATATAAAACAATTGCGGCAAATATTTTTTTTGGTAAATGTAGGTGGTGGTTAGTTTAGGTTCAAAATTGTTATATAAAAAATGATAGTAGTTTATTATATGTTCTAGTACTCTAATTGTGTTAAATTATTACAATTGGTGTTGTTGATTTATAAAACCCTCTTTCATATATTTCGGGATTGCTAAAGAGCCATAATTAAGTCAATTATTAATTATAATAATAATTTAAATAAATCGAACCATACTAAAAAATTAATTTTTAATAATATTATGAAAAATACAAAAAAGTGTTTTTATTATAACAATAAAAATTTTAAAAACAACAAAATCACAGTTGTATTTTCCAATGAAAGATGTCTCTTCGATGGGATTATTCATAAGTAGTGTTGTTTTAGGATCGATCCTCGTTATAATTTTAATCACTGTAATGACAATGGGACTAATTTACAGTGTTATTTTTTCGAAAATAAGTGATGGTGGGTTGGCTGAAAAATGTATTTTATATGTCTTATCATTATTAGTCCCGCCATTCATTTACATGTTCACAAAGTACATTGGAAAAGTTAAAAAGTATTCGCAAATATCTCTAATTATTGCAGGAGCCTGTTTTTCTGTTGTTTCCTTTGCATTGTTTGGGTGGTCTGCATCAGTCCCGACGAGGGTTCCATTCA